TAGATACCCCACACTATTTTTAATCCATTTATTTATTTTTTTTACAGTAAAATAAAAATTATTTATTATTTTTATGTAAAAGCATAGTTTTCTTAGAAGCCTTAATACTCGAGGTTGACCAACATATTAGATGACGCGCTTTAAATTTAGACAAGGTAAAATTTTTATATCGAAGAGTTTTCAGCTGCGTGTGAACCTCATCGCCATATAAAGGCTTGCTGTTCATTTGGTAGGATCTAAGTAATGGACCTACTTGATCCAAACTTCTTACATTTTGTGTTAATTTGCTTGTATGAATCAATTTTGATCATAAAATTTTAAAAATTAAATCTTTTTTTTGTGAATAGGTTGCAACCCGTGAGAAATCTAACAGAGAATAGGGCTCAAGAAATAGATCCATATGGTTCAAATTTGATCCAGTCGGGCAGACGGACAAAAGGACAAATAAGTTTAAATCGATTCAGAAAATGATATTGAATAGATCGGTGCAATAAAAGTGGTGGTCAATATTAAGTGTTTCTGGACCTACAATCACCCAAACTGGCGTAGGGTATAAAAGAGGAGTAAGATAATAATAATAATAGCAATAATAGTAGTAACAATAATAATTGTAAAGAACAATTCGGCTTAAAAAAGATAAAGAACAGTGGAAAGTATTAAGTAAGAGAGTACTTCTAAGATGAAGAAAGTCTCAATATATACATCTTTTATCGAAAAAATTGGCCAAATGCTCCATGCCACACGTGACAAGAGTTCTTTTAGAACGTCTGTTGGAACCATTGGAAATCTTCTGGGAAATGAGAAATTTTTATTTTCAATGCCTTCAATGCGCTTAAAGTCGGAATTAGATCGAATTTTTCTTAGGTCGAAACGGGTGTGATGAACATCTGTCCAATAGCCTTGGATATTAAAAAGAATTTTGTTTTTTGCCTTTATTTTGATTTGAAATTTGCTACACCTAACTTCTTCAGAGCAGCCCACCATCACCTCCCTATTCCTCTCTCTTTACTCTCTTCTTTCTGACAGCTATCGTGCTACATGAATACGAAACATTTTAAGGGTATTTTAGACAGACCGACGGATAGATAACTTAAAACCAATTCAGATAATGATTCTCAATCATTATAAAAAAAAAAAACAAAAATTATGTCTATCTCAAGTCCTTTTGGGTGTCGCATATATTAATATACTCTTTACTGTAAGTATTGTAGAGCGTAATCATTTTCAAGTACTTCAACGAAAGCACAAGTATCTGGAAAATACATGTAGTTTGATTCTACGTAAATAAATTCGAGAACATTATCAATGACTTTGTATGCACAAGGGGTAAACGACCATTACCTTTTAATTGGATTTTAAGCTTAACGCATACTTTTTCTTTGTTGTGAATGAAAGTCACGTTATAAATATGCGACAAAGGAATGCATTCAAAGAGTTTAAATTTATTAAAATATTAAATACAGTTTTAATAATCTTTATGCAAAATGCTGTTACTTTCATCAAAGCTCTTCACACACGCACACTTACAGTTTTTTTCAATACACACACACACATACACACACACACAAATTGCATATCACATAAGCATACGTAAAAAAAAACTTTACTATGTAAGTATATTGTTGTTGTTTTTATTCCCTCTTGCACATCAGTCTCTTTAACAAGCACTCAAAGGATTTGTGTACATTTTACTTGAACATGAGCTCATTTATGGTTATTTATGAACATACTTTTTTTCCAATTTTTTTTTTTTTTATTTTGCAGAAAATCAACAGGGGCAACAGACGTAAGCCTGACAATAGAGGTAAGAGTATGAAAAAACAAGAATAAAAAAAGAATATTACAACAAAAAATCTGTCATCATTTGCATTAATAGAAGAAAGTTTTTTTTTTTTTTTTCTTTTTTACTAATACATATTTTCATACTTTATGTTGCCTTTGTACGTTCGCATCGCAAAGTGATTTTCAAGACTTATGGTATTAGAGAAGAAAAAAAAAAAAAGAAAAAAGAAGCACTAGAGAGGAAGAAAAGAAAATAAGACGTTGCAGTTAAAACAATTAAATGAGTAACTGAGATAGAGACCGAGAAGAATCTAATGTCATACATAATAGCATCAAGTGGCTCTTCTAATTAACCTCGACCTAAATGACATTAGCTCTATACTTTCACATCCGGTACATGCATATGCTTTTATTCAGGCTATTAACGTTTTAAACTCAATTAACGTAAAGCTTGCAATAAAAAATGTAAACAAATTTAACTCGAAAAGGCTTACGACTAGGCAATGATTTTTATAATATTTTAAAAGCCGTAAAAAGTATGCTAAGCCTTTTAAGAGGGAATTTCCTCCTTAATAACTATTTTTGACAATGGAAAGCATTTTACTGCAACGTTTTGATACCTGTACGCTACTTATTGTAACGATATGTGAAATATTCGTGAATTTATGCAACATTCAAATGAACTTGAGATAAATTCAACTTTTATGATACCAATCATGACTCAGAGTTATTTTCACAATTAATTTAGATATGTTTGTTACTCGTTTTTCTTTCGGTTCCTGCGTCCGCTCTTTCGCCTCCACTTCATTCATATGTATTGTATGTGAATTTGGAAAGATAACAAAGGGTTGACCGTGTAGTCAACAGGAGATCCCGAAAGATTATGATAGATCCTCACGGCTTCTTCCGTGGTCAAGATGTGCTAAAAGAGGCCGCATCAGATATCGCAAAAAAAAAAAATTAGCAAGCTTTGGAAGCAGACTGCAGGACAACGGTAAGCATAAAGATTAATAACATCCTTCGACGTAGCACGCAAGCTATTGGAACTGCGATGAAGCGACGTAGGTCTATTGACTGGTTCCTACAGGGGTTGTAATTCCTCCAGACATCATCTGTAAAATATGGGCATCTCGGATACCGATTCACACCGATTCTGCAAGGTGGCGAAGGAAACGTCCCAGCATATCTTGCGCGAATGTGTGGCTGTCAGCAAACACTAGGTGTGTGGCGAAAATTCAGTAACGTCGGATTGCAAGTTGGATGCGTACTAACATGTATGGTTCAAGGAGGAGTTATATTGAGAATAAACTAGATTGGATGATCTTCGTGGCCGCTATCCATATAAAGAAATATTTTGAAAAAGTCGTCACGTAGAGAGAATTTTTCATTCTTGTTTTTTTCGTTTTGCTTTTTTAATATAACCAATCACATAGGGGATATATCCCATTGACCGTCAGAGAGAAGACAGGAGGGAAAAAGAAACGAGGAGATGGTGGCTGCAGGCGAGTATATGTGTGCCCAAGTGTGTTGCCTTTACCGACTGAGCACTCACTACAGCTACGTCTAGAGAAAACTCTGCCGCACTTGACATTTGAACTCACGAACTCTGACCTGATCATCACAGTTCTTCCTTACTCGGCTGCTCAGGCAAATAGCAAAATGTAAAATAGTATTTTGGATGTGGAAAATTTGAGCGCAATGGGACAACTTCTTCTTTGTCTTCTTTATAAGTTAGGTCCACATAGGTCCATTTTTCGGTCTTGTCTAAATACCAGGAACCTTATTGTGAATTAGGATTCGGTTTTGATATTTTACAATGGGAGGCGCAAAATGTTTAAACTTTAAGTAACGTTCTAGCTTGTTTATGAAAAAGCCTTTCAAAAATTAGTGTTTGTGTTATATAATTTTATTTTGTCCTGCCTTATCAGAATCAGATTTAAATTGATTGAAGGACAAAAATTAGGACCATTTCAACTGCTGCAGAAAATATTTCATGGCTTATTGGCTTATATAAGATTGTCCATGTGTAAGTGATACATTAAATGGGCGCCATCATGCGTTTCCTCGGAAGTTGTTAATATGAGAAATGGGAAAATCATTGAGTAACACTAAGAGTAAGTCACAGTAATTATGCGGGTAACTGCAAAATACTTAAAGTGCATTCGAATACTTTAATGCCTTTCCTCAAAATTTAGTGGAAGATATATTCTACGGCTTTCCATCTAGCTTCGGCTTTTTGAAAGGGGAAATAACAAAAAGTCGATTCGATCAAAAATTGCTATGAATTCAACATCAGCTTTTGATTATGTACTTTCGAAAAGTTTTTTAAAAGATTATCCCGAAAAGTAATGATTTTTTTTCAAGAGTATCTCCCAATTATACATATATCTTTGAGCTACTGCTTAGATGGAATAGAGACCCGAGGTGAGTTGTTTTGTTGTTTTTTTTTTTTAATTAAAAATTCACGTTTAACAAAAAGTCAAATTGTGTTGTGTTGTGTTGTGTTATTAAATGGAATGTACTAACTGTACTGCACGTGAAAGTATAACAACAACGTTTTGCTATTGTTTGTGAAATTAATTCCGTTTCAGTGCATTGATAGTAATGCTATGCGTATTGTTTACTGTTGCATTCGTAGTTTTTGTCATTCGTCCTTACACTTGGCTAAATATTTAATGAAAAGCGGTGTAACTTACGAAATTACTAAAGTTAATTATTATGCAGATAGTTTCGCTTCCTCTTTTCCTTTTTTTTTTTTTTTTTTTTACTCTAACAAAGCTAAAAGACAAAGAAAAGGCTGGCCCAGTAATGGACTATTATTGTTCAAGTAGTTCATAGCAAATTGCAATGCTTGCTTCATTTTATTAAAATTATAGTATACTTTTTGGATGTATTATGAAAGTAGATTTATAGTTAACTTTTAGGCAAAAATTTTGTTGAAATTTTTCCATTGCCTATTCCATTGCCTTTGCGAATTATAAACAAAACAAAAACACAATAATTAAATGAATCGTAACCTTTAAGGTAAACATTAACTCGTAATATGCACTATGCGCAGCCTGTAATTTTCATAATTAATTCATTCATTCTTGGAATTTACACGCATGTTTTCTCTGAATTATTATAAAGTCTATAAAATTCATTATATTACATCACATTCCATATTGAGCGGTGACTGAGTTAATTTAGTGAAAAATTTTAATCGTTACATAAAGGAAATGCTTTTGCATACACTACAACTTAAACGTTATTTTTGGGTAACGCAACGTTCATTCAATCTTATTGGTATCGATATAAGTGCTCTCGATTATCATGATATTGTAAAATATCCGATGCGCTGCTTCCTGTTTACTGCATTCGCGGCCGTGCTTGCTGGTGCTATGTCCATTCATGTTTACGAGTATAGAGATGATTTCGGTGAATTTGCCGATACCTCAGGGATGTTATTGCAAACGATAATAGCATTGTGGAAAACTTTGGTATTTATATTTAAACGAAAGGAAATCTGTGATTTAATGCAAAATGCATGGCAGTGGAATATAAACGGTATAAATTTTGAATTTTTTTTTTTTTTTTTTTTATGTTGTTTTTCTCTTTTTACATGTAAATTTTTCAATCACATGAGTTTTTTTTCTTGTGATCAAACAGTTCATCCGGACGAGTTTCATATTATTTTAAAATTTAATTCACAAAATTTTACAATTTCGGCATTATATATGGTGCAGGTGTCAAGTACGGTGTTCGGGTCATTCCTTGTACCATTAATTTACATGTTTGAATTTTATCGGAAGAATGGTGAGAAAATATGGTTACCGCCACATAAGGGAGGGTAAGTGAAAAGAAAAAAGCTTCCTAAAAAGGAAAAGAAAATATTCGAAAATATTCCAAAAATGATCAGATGCAAAGCTTTAAAAATACTTGTTCGCTTTGGGGGAAAATTACAAAAAAAAAAAAAAAAAAACAATTCGTAATAGTTACAGGCGTTTTACTCTAAGGACTAAAGGAATGGAATTATGGGCTGTTGCTTTATTATCAGCAAGCTATCTTAGGCAACTTGGCGGTATATGGAGTCGAAATTACTTCTCTAAGAGAATTCGTAATATATTTTAAAATGCAATTGAATACTCAAAAGGTCATGGTATCCTTTTTCAAAGCAGGACATGTGTCATGTGACATGTGAGTGGGTGCATAGCCAATCGGAGAGTCTTGTGCTTTTGCCGACTGACCGCTCACTGGGCACTAAGCTCTGGTACACTCTAAGGCGCTGAGGTAGGCTAGCTTTGTAGTCGCTTTTCTTATCTATTCGGCCACTAATGCCAGCAGGTGGCACACCTAAATAATCTAGATTAATGAGCTATTTGCTCATCATAGAACATTTAAGATTCCCTGTAAGCTGACACTTTCCATTAGGACCTTTATCTCTTATTTAGTCGGCAACTAATGCAAGCGGCTGAAGCATCCAGATGGTTCAGATGAGTGAATTGTTTATTTATTCATCGTAACTTAACTTCACTTCGTAGAAGAGTTAAGATTTCCTATAAGCCGACATTTTTCATTAGGAGCTGTTCTCATATTTTCCAAAATAAAAATCTTGTACATTACGCAGCGTTAAAGGCGTTAAAGTATTTTCATCTCACTTGTTACAAAGTACAAAAGTTTTTTTTTGACATTAGGACAACTTTTAATTATATCTGTCCGTTCGCCCCATTTTATATCTCACTGAGAATATTTCAAAAAGTGGGATAAAAAGCAAAAACTCAGTTCTTATATTTCCGATTCACGTCCTCCAAATTCAAGCCCACTTGAAAATGCTTGTAATTCTCTCCCTTATGACTTTGATGAAATGTATTTGAAAAGCAACGTTAAAAATACCTTACAACAAGTTGAAACTTTATAATCGGGGCAAGACCCATTTTTAGATACCTTACACTACTTCGTCAAATCGTTTTTTTCGCCCATCTTTGTCAAATCCCTTTCTTCATTCATCTTTGTCATGAAATATTAAAATTTAAATTCTGTTGACTTTCTTTAAATTTAAAGTAAAGTAATCGCTCTTATACGGGGAAGGTTCCGAAGAGGAGATACGTAATCCATGTCAGATCATTATATTGCCCGGATCGTTCCCGTATAAAGTTCTTCGCTTTGTAAAAATGTTTTCTATATTCTCTGTTAATGTTCCCGAATACTATTTTTCATCATCAGTTTTCTGTCGGGCAAATTTTTTACATTTAGCGACTTGTTTTAGAAGGAACGTTACACAAGCAACGAATGGTAAAAAGTGGTTCAATGCAATCCATTACTAATACTAATACGATTTATTAAAATTCCAATCTGTAGGTTAAACACAAAAATACATCAGATCGCATAGATGAAATCAGTTGGACATAGAGACAGACAGACAGACAGGGGGACCGGTAGCCTTAAATAGATTTATAAAATGATTCTTACTCTATCTTTACCCTAAGTCCTTCTGGTTGCGGCATGTCTTCAAACAAGTAGTGTAGGATGCATAAAAAAATAAATCTTAATAAGAATAGTAAGTAAAATGTGATGAAAAAAATTCTTAATATCTTACGAAATATTTGAATAAATTTTCTTAAGAAATTCTCTTCTTTTCTTTCTCTTTTGTTTTTTCACATTTTTCATAGATATTTTTGGGATTATTCGAATGTAATGGGTTATTCGTTTCTTTATATTTGTCATCTACTTGGTATATTTTTTGTTGCTGCATTTTCGATTGGTGTCGATACATTGTGCCCGTGGCTTGTCTCAAATATTGTTGTACAATATCATGTAATATATTATCGTTTACGCGATATAGCTGAGCTTAGTTATGAGATAAGCACCGATAAATTGAATGCGAAAATTATTGAATGCGTTAAGTGTCATCGACAAGTATTGAATTTGAGTAATCAGTTGGAAAATTTTTTTGCTGAAATAATTTTTATCAAATTTGTTATCAGCGGTTTATTAATATGCTCTTTAGCATTTCGTTTAGTACGAGCTGAAGGACAATTTTATATACTCTTATATCAGTTAGTGTTCTTAACAACAGTTTCGACACAATTGCTGATGTATTGCTATAGCGGACAACGTTTAAAGGATGAAGTGAGCTTTTTCTTTTATTTTTTTTGTTGTTGTTGCTGTATTTATTCTCTCTTTTGTTATTCTATTTTAATGATGAAATAATTACTACGAGAAGAGTTCACAAGTGGCGTCTGAAATCTATTCAATATTCGAATGGTCCCATTTGTCGAGGAATTCACAAAAATTGCTGCTGTTTGCCATGATGCGTTCACAAAGAGAATGCCATTTAACTGGCGCCTTTTTTATGGTCGATTTAAGTTTGTTTGTTTGGGTAAGAGAGATGTGTGTTTGTAAACAAAAAAAAAAAAAAAAAAAAATTTGTTTAACTTTTCCTTTTGCTTTTGTTTAAAAAAAAAAAGAAGAAGCTATCATTTTGTTTTACTCTTACACGCTTTCCTTTGTTATTTGTTAAAGGTTTTAAGAACTGGTGGCTCGTTAATAGCAATGCTTAAAACTTTGGACGAGAAGCAGGTGTAAAGTGTGCTTTAAATAAGCGAAAAGATAACTTTTCTTACTTGAAAATGACTTTTTTTTCCTCTCTTCCTCTCTACCGCTCTCTTTCTTTTTCTATAAGATATTGAAGTAAAGTACTAAAAAGTTGTAAAAATCATTTAACAAGAAATAAACTAAGATAAGAAAGTTAAATTTTCAAAAAAAAGCTATACTAGTTTCTTTTCTTCTTCTTTTTTTCATATATCTCTTAAAATCGAAAAAGGTTAAGCATCTGATGGAACTTAAACTTACCTAAGAGTATAAATCAGTTTTTTTCTTGCCTTTGTAACATTTTTAGATATTATTTTGCAAGCTTCTTAAACTTTTTAAATTTATCTGAATATTTTCATTTCCTAAAATTAATTCTATAATAATGCGGGCGCAAAAGACTTTGGTCTGTTATTTTGCATATAAATTTTTCAAAAGGATAAGTAAAATAGAAAAATATTCAAGATAAAATGCAGTATTCGTCCATAGTATTCTTTGTGTGGCTGTGTGTGTGTATGTGTGTGTGTGTGTGTTTTTTTTTTTTTTAATTAAATCAAGTGTTGTTTCACGGACACAAGTTCTACCATTTTTTTGCTTTTCTTTTATTCGCCGAGACTCAAGTATTTAATGGAAAATCGAAATATACTGCGGAACGTGGGAAATGAGAAAATTGAAATTTTAAGCTATAAGACTACAATAATTCGGTTTAATTAAAGTTTTATTTTCTATTTTATATATTATGTTAAATATTGTTAATTGCTTCTGCCTACTTTTAGAAAACAAAAAAAAGAAAAATGCAAGAAAAAATATTACAGTCAGGCAAGGCCGATTGATAATAATACACTAAAAATTATACATTATTTTCACGGAAAGGCCTAGCCATCCCATGAAAGAACCGCATAATGAAGAAGGCCCGAAACATCGCATGACGCGATCCAAATCAATTTTATTATTTCTCAATTTCCATTGTAAAAAATTAAAAATTACATTCCCGGTAAGGGCTTGTTTTTCATGATAACCCCTTTATAGGTCAAGGTATGAGCAATTGAACCATGTGATTCAAATATCCTAGTGTTAATTTTATTTTGCTAAATTATTATTAAGAATCAAGTTTCATTAGAAAATATCAAAAATTAAATCTTTTTCTAAAGGGTTTATTGTTCATGAGAAATCTTATATAGAGTAGGGTCCCAGATCATATGTGGTTCACTTATTTTATGTGTCAAATTTTCATCATAACACGTTAAGAATTAGGCTTTTTCAGCATGGAAGGGCTTACATTCTCTGGGAATCCTTATAAGTGCTTGTCTATGTGGTCAAAATTTTGTAAATTTGTTGTCTATGCCAGTTTACTACTATCAGTTTAGTTTTCATTATAATATATTAAAAATTCTGCCTTTTTATGCTGCAAAGATTCAATTTTCGTAGAAATGGTTTTATGAAAATCGAAAAATTTTGAAAATAGGAATTTCTTGTGGTTGAAAAAGTGAATCGATCCGAACCATTTCCAATAGCGTTCGTCGTTGGCACAAAGCAAGTCCGTGCACTAAATTTCATCAAAATAACTCAAAAATGGCGACCTACAGGTGAATATAAAAACATATAGATCGAAATGGGACGGACAGACAAGCATGAACCTGAACGGACCGGTTTAATAATAGGAAGGTCTAACCTAAGCTCATCTGGACTTAGTTTACATACGTTCGCATAATCGTAATATACCTTCCACCGCGCGTAGTATAGGGTATAAAAAAAAAGAACAAAATGAAGAAATTGCTTTGCAGCTTTTTTCCACTTTTTAAGTTTATCGCCTAAAAGTATACAATGGGAAAATTTTTAATGTTTGCATATGAAAGAAAGCAAGCAAGCAAATAATGTTTTGCAAATTTCTTACTTTCCTTTTAGGAACAATACGTCAACCAAGGAATTTATTTATTCCTACCTGTGCAGCAGACCACAATTTTGTACAAAATATCTTAACTTGCAACGGTAATTTTATTAAAATGCTAAATTTTTATAGTTTTGTATTGAAGGTGTGCAGTTTTAATTCATTATTTCTCTTTATCAAAATATGTATGTCTGTGAATGTGTAAATTGTAGACCCTGATCAAATCATGGACATAAGGAAAGTACTTTTTGTTTTTGAATTTATTATCAAAAGATTTATATAATTTCGACAAATATTCGTAACAAGTTTTAGGTTGAAAGCGATGTTGCACTGGTTAACCCTAAGCAGTACATGATGTGCCCTATTTGGACTTTGAACTGAAAGTTTTGGCTTGCCAAATTTTTTTTTTTACTTTACTTTAAATTAACTTTAACTAGCAATTAAAAACCCTACAGTCGACCGCGGATCATCATTAAATACCTTACGGCGCCCTACAGTTTCATATATATATTTATACATCTAAAATATTTTCAATAATGTTCGCTCTTGAGCGCAAAATACTCTAGTGTACCAAATTTCACACAAATGGTTCGCATCGGCACATTTATTTTACCGCTACCCTTACAAAGCCATTATTTGAAGAGACGTTGTTTCCATTTTCAAAATTTATTTGCCAATCTTCACAGAATGGAAATAAGTTGACATTTGAAATTGGTATGAAAAATTTGGTTTGTCTTGATTGTCAATTTTCTGAACCTCCTCTCATGTAACCGTTTCGACGAAATCTGAATTTTTATACGTTAAAAGGGTCTAATTATCAATATTCCATAGTGAAACTTCGTTAATAATAGTAAATGAATACAAAAATCAAGCTTATCGTATTTGGATTACGTAGGTCTATTTTTGGGCTACCACCAAATATAATGATACCTTAGGAAATGTAAACTTCTATATGGCAAAAAGGCCTTAATGTTAATGTGTTATGATGGAAAGCTGTTCATGGTAGCAATTTGACATAAAAATGAAGTGAAAAAGATTTTAACCATATGAGTCTGTTTCTTGGACCTTACTCCAGGTAAGATTTCTCATATATAGTAAGCCATTCAGAAAAAGATTGAACTTTTAATATTTTATGATGAAATTTAGTCCATAGCAGCACTTAAGCAAGGAAGTGAACGGCTAGGAATCTGGATTGCACAGTTTCACTTCTTAGACCCTAACATATATAGGGCTTATCATGAAAAGCAAGTCCTTATATGAAGGGAAATTCTATTTTCTAGTTTTTCATGACAGAAACTGAAAATAATAACACTTTTAGGAAATAAATTAAGTTTGCTCAATTCGGATTAGGTCACGTGGTGTTTTGGGCATCTTCCAATATATGGGCTTTTGTGAAAGTATGCCTTCGGATGAAGATAATGTTTAATTTGTAGTATATTATTACTAAAGCGGGTGTATAACTGTGCTAGGCAAAGTGATATAGGGTATCTAATTGTCGGTCTTGCCTTTTTTCATATACAAATTAAAGAAATGATAATTTATCTGAAAATTATGTGGAAAGAGATTTTTACTTTTTTACCTAAAAGTCGGCAATGGAAACTTGGGGTCCTATTTTGAGCAAATATTTAATACAATTTTGCTTGAATTGTGGACTTGCATTGCGTCTGTGATTACAATTTTCCGAAGATATTCCCGTTATTTTATAATATTTTTATAATAAATTTCTATCAAGTTATCTAAAAAATCCATTAGATTTATATTAGGTTTGGAGCTTTCTTGAAATTAATTTTAAAAATACGAAGCTTTTACATAACGAGTAAGTTTTCGAAAGAAAAAAAGGAATATTAAATTTACCCAAATTTTTGTTTTAAATATAGTAAAAAAATTCTGCAATTTTTTATTAAAATTGATACAATGAAAAAAAATATCTACATATTAGGACTGAAGGCAGGATAACAATTACAAAGGGGAATTTTAGCCTATTAAACAAAGCTGAATACTTTGCTTTCTTTTCTTTTACTGAATTTCAGATTGATTTAAAATATATGTTTTTCTAGCTTCAGTTTTTTATTGTTTGCTTTCTTCGTTTGTTTTCCTTTTCTTTTTTGTTTTTGACAGAATGTTTCCCTTTTTTAGAAAAGTTTTATTATTCTTTTTTAGCACTTTTTATTAATTTACATCGTTTCAAATATTTCTGGATATAAAGGGAATAATAAAGTTTATGGCATTGTGGTTGTGGTCTTATCGTCAATTTTGGAGTGGTTTTTATAAACATAATAAAATTACAAGCACAGTTTAAATAATTGTATGGAAATGTAATTGAAACATTTTTTTAAATACTATTCAGGAAAGGTTCAAAAATTCCGCATACATAGCTGTCACTTCAAAATTTGCAGTCAACTTCAGTTAAGGGCTTGCATTAAATTGAGTGGTATGGGTTTTTGTTTTTCTTTTTTTATAAACATCTTTTGCTGGCCTTGTTTGTTTTTTTCGTTTCTTCCTATTTTTAAACTAACAAGCAAGAAGTTTCATATTAAGTTTACTTTTCATGATCAGATTTACTCGCAGAGTATTTCGGATTTTTGTGAATAAGATACACAAGAAATTTTTTAGAATCCCTTGTAAACATATGCTATCGATTGGCTTTAGTTTCTCAAAGCGAAGCGTGATCGGTAAATTAAATACATATCTAGATTGGCTAACTTTAATGAAAAAAATGTTCCTTGATATATGATTACGAATATTGAGGTTTATCTCTCTTGGGTGTCAACAAAGCAGGCATCTTTAGGAACTAACGAAAGGCCAGTAATTACTTTTCAAACACCGCAAAAGTTCAGATAAAGACTTTTAGGCTAAAAGTACGGCGGGACAAAATCTTGCATTAGCCCATAAGTGTTATGCACACAGGAAGCTTAAGCCAAGATTAGTTTCTTAGACTCGGGTGTAAGAGAACTTAACGTATATGAACGAAAAGTATAGCATACGACTTGAAAGTATAGCATACGACCAGAAAGGTATAGCATGCGACCGAAAAGTATAGCATACGACCGAAAAGTATAGCGTACGACCGGAAAAGTATAGCATACGACCAGAAAAGTATAGCATACGACCGAAAAGTATAGCATACGACCAGAAAAGTATATGGACGAGCTCGAATTGAATTAATTTGAATCGGTAAGTTAATGGTAGTATAGTTTTTGGGGCGTACGAAAATTC